TCTCTTAATACACACACACACACACCCCTAAAACCCCAGTCAGCCTCCTCTCACCCACCTCGCCCCGCCCCATACAGAACACCCCCCTTCACCCTACATTTAGACCCCTCTCCTTCACTCTCTCTCTCTAAAGCTAACAAGTGGGCTCCGCCAGAAGAAAAAATAAACAGTTCAATAAATTTTCCCGTTATCTCTTTTTACTGTCACTCCCAAACTCAGGCAGCCATACATTATTTTCCTCACACACAAACACTCCCTCGCTCTTCTTTTTTGCGACACCACAGGCTTCATAGTTGAGTGAGCACTCTCTGAAGTCAACAGGCAGGCTGCCGGGGTGGAGCAGCAGAGGGACACACACTCAACAATGGGCCTTGGATGGCAATTTCATGCAAGGTTTACCCAATCCCTTCACTCCAATTAGTGATCATTTCCTTTTGATGCACACACAGGTCCATGCAGAGAAGGATACTATATGATACAAGAATATCTCCCCATCCAAGACAGCACCACAAACTAAAAACTAAAACTGGCAATAACTGGGTATAACTATAATATTAACTATAATTTCCATTATCTATTAAATGTTTGATCAACAAACTGTCAACAACAACAAATAGTAAAACATGCCAATCTCAAGCTTGTTTTGTCTGATATTCAGATACTCAAAAAAAATTTTGTTCACATAGAAGACTAAGAAAACCTCCAAATGTTTACATTTCCAAATGAATCACTGGAGGTACTTATTTATAGCATTGACTTACTGCATGTATGTGCATATGGATGAGGAGAGGATTTTGGGTAACGCAGTACTTACATATTGGTAAGTATTTCTTTTATCCCAGCACATTTTTCATTTTCATAACTAGGTTATTATCTATGCCCCATAAGGCTTGTTTTGCAAACAGCAAAGGGACTGTGATGCCAATCCCTCAGATTAAAATAGGCATAGACACACACACATACACACACACACAAATCCTGGTGCAGAAATAATACCACAAAACATTCACAGCCAATGAGCTTTCATGGCTTCTCGGCAGCCGGGTGTCAGTGCGGAGGAGAAAAACAACGGGGGAGGGAGGGAGGGGAGTAGGGAGTAAAGGAGAGTTGGTTTGGGCTGTGGCGAGGGGGGGGTGCAGATTGGACACAATGAAAGGCTTTTTGTCTTCAACCTCATTTTCATAAAGCTGAATATCAAGGTTCTCGAGGGTAGGCAGTTTATAAGGGTCAACTTGATTCAAGTAAAAGTAGTCAAGTTTTCGAAGATAGCCTGTTGAAATTAAATAGTCTGGGCAAACATAAAACATACAAAAGGCCACTCAAAACAACTTTTATTATATCCAGCCTTCAGGGTGACAGACTGAGCCATCGCAGGATCTTTAAAAAGAAAGCTGATATCATATTTTCAGAACATTTAAACTGTCTTGTCCATTTTATATTCACTGTAATAAAGATTGCCCCAGCGTCTCTGTTATTCTTACTGCTGTTGTGCCTTTCAGTGATCTCAGATGGCTCCATTCAGTCATTTCAAGTGACTGCAAAGAATCAAAAACTGAGAATTCCTCTGTTGTACTTTAGAGTTCTAAACACACCCCTACACCTACACCTACACCCCTCCATCAATTTTTTTCTATAACTAAGAAAAATAGGAAGGCTTGGCAGGAGGTAATTTAAGACTTTTTGATCACCTCCACTACTGACTTTCTCACTCTATAGCTGGTCACCGGCCCTTTCATTGACCTTTGACATTTGACCCAGACTGGTACGGGTCACTGTCCAGGAGCTGTGAGCTGCTGATGAGCTGTTGCCTGGAACAGTAAACACGGGCTAAAGAGGAGAAGGAAGCGTGGGGCGTGAATGAAGAGAGTTAATTAAGAGAGACAGTGAGTTACTCAATCCTATCCTGGTCCACAAACAGCAAACTGGTGGCCACACTCAAATCCTCTTACACCTACATCACACACACACTGAAGCTGTCATGTACTAAAGTGCTGCAGTAAATGCTGGAATGTGATAATCACGTATTGTATGTAAAATTGTAAAATCACAAAAAGCAGGACAACATTTTATTCTCATACGTATAAACTTGTAAATCAGTGAATAAGTCATTTTTAAATTTCCTCCTCTATTTCTATCTAATGTAAAACATTATCATGAATATGTGCCTCTAAGTAATATTTTTTGGGGAAAAAAAGTCAAGAGCAAGAAAATATATCAGTAGCTACACTGCTCACGATAAACGCGTGTCTGATTTATACTGCATAAGCAGAAAACGGATCCCAAAGAACCTTTGATAACAACATTTCAGACAGGATGCACCCTGGGAGTTCTGCGGGAGAACAGCCCCTACAGTGTACCATGTAATCACAAAATGTTGGCTTTGAATTGGTATGAAGACCTTTGCCGTGAGTCATCCTGTCACTCTTTCACTCCTCACTGTCTTCTACATAATAAAGCTGTGAAACAAACTGACAGGAGAGGAAACTGAAGCCTTATTCGCTGTAAAGTCATCTAATTTTACACGGTAAGATAATACCAACATACAGGCTCACACAGTAACAGGCATGAAGCAGTCATTCAGCAGCGTGACATGTGTGACCTATCTCATGGGGATGCAGTGACACACAGGCTATCAGCAGGCGGGGCTTGTTATGCTACTTCATAAGGTAGAAATACTGTGAAAAAAGTATAAATATAATAAAGTATATTATAACATACTTGAAATGATAGTTTGTTGGTGGACAAGGACATGAAGCAATAAACACCGGATACGAGACATGGCTGCTGCCTGAGGCGTCGGTAAAGACTTCTGACTGTCACACTTTTTAATAATAACATCCTCCAGGCTGAGGCGGTATAGCAGGCATGACCATGGTTAATCAGCATGGAAACACGCGTGACGGGACTCACTGAGGCTG